CAAATGTGTTTTATTTTAAAGCTCATCAAATGTGTTTTATTTCAAAGTCCACTGCCACCATTTTTTTAACACAGAGATACATGGTGACACTAAGACACATGACATGGAAGGCTTCTGGAAATTTTAGATATGTTAAAAGGATGAATCAAGTCTCCATGCATGTGTATAGGAGCCCTGAGACATTAACATCTGGGAAAACACAATGAGCTCCTCTTTTGTACTCCCCTCCGCCCTCCCCCGCTTTGTGGCTGTTTAAATGAATAACCTCCTCTTTTGTACTCCCCTCCGCCCTCCCCCCCTTTGTGGCTGGTTAAATGAATAAAAAATATTTCAAACATTCACAAGAAAAACACAGAAACACTTTTCATGGGTAATGAGAATGTCCTGATAGTGCTCTTAATACCTCCATGAGGAATTTAAAAAATGAAATGCAATAAATAAGCTACAGACAGTTGTAGAATAGTTCTGAAAGTTGTGAATATCTCAGCGGAGGCTCTCTTCTTCATAAATAACTTTGATTTTACAATTGCTTAAATTTAAACAAAGGGCATCTATTAAATGGACTGAAATCATGGAACATTTTATGATGCTTAAACAGTACTGAAAAGCTCTCGCTGTTCCTTTCTATCAGCAGCATTCATTGACAAAGCAACTTCCTGTTGTTATAAGACTGATTTTTATGCAGACTGATCTCTTTGATTTGATGAGAATCAATCAGCTTCCATCACCATGGGAGTATAGCACCTTACCATCTTTAATGGCAGTACAGGGAAATGGAACTGGGAGTTGTGGGTTCCAGGTTGGTATCCTGATCACTAGACCAGTGGCTTTCAACCAAGGGGCCACAAGTTCCTATCGGGGTTCCACGGCACAGGTGCCATTGCTGCCGTGCCCAAGTGGAACTGCCCTGCATGCCTCATGCCCAGCCAGACTGGGAAGCAGCTACGGCAGAAGCAGGCACTTCTGTCTATATTGGGGTTTAAGCAAGCAGGAGTGCTCAGTCCTGCCACAGCCCTTCCCAACTTGACCGTTGGTGGCATCTTCTAGAAACAGAGCTGTGAGGGGTAGGTGCAGAAACTGTCCTATGTGCCTCTGTTTCCAGCAGGACCATGGGGAGACTGAACTAGGAAGGGCGGCAGCAGGACCAGGCACTCCTGCTGCAGCCGTTTCCCAATCTGGCTGTTCAGGTGGGATGCAGAGAAATTCCACCTGGCTGCAGCAGTGGCAGTAGCAGTTCCCTGGTTGGGAAGCACTGAAGTAAGCTGAGGCAACACAACAGTGGTTCACAACTGGGCTGCTGCCAAATCCAAGAGTGACAGAGGGATGCCCTGAACCTGCAAAGTCTGAGAGCGTCTGCACTAGACCATACCTCCTTCTTCTGAAAAGTCTCATGCTATCTCCTGCCAGGGACCCCTGATTTCTCATAATGTCCAGGCATATCTGCAAAGGCATTTGAAGCTACTTAGGAACACAATTTTGAGTGGTTGAGCTCTAAACCTTGTGATTTTCTTTTCTTCCACTGTAGTTGACAAGTACCTATACTCTAAAAGAACCCTAAAAGGAAACACTTAAAATGGTCTCAACATCTTTGAGTAAAGCATACCCCTACAGAGAGGCAAAACCTGTGGCTCACTTAAGCCTTGTGCGGGTTCTGTACACAGTGATGAATTTCATCCAAGAGCTGTTCATGGAGATGGCAGATCCCACAACAGCACAGTTATTTATATCTGCAGACTGTCAGATGTGTCCCTCATTGAATCCTTTTAATGCATATTCCTTTTGTTTGCAGTTCTTTGCTAAGAACTGCTGCTGAAAGGAGCTGCCTGTCTCCCAGCTGTATGTCAGCAGGCAAGGACAAAGGATGTAGGAGTGCCTGAGGGCAGTGCATGCTGTTGAGAACATTGCTCACCAGACAGGCTTTCACACTTCAAAGCAGCAGCCCACTCTTTTTGTGACATTTTTAAAACATCTACAAATTTACTGATTAGACCTCAGTGCTCCATGCTCTGTGACTCCCTACGAATGTGTCCCGTATGCCGTCCCCTTTGTGCATGCCATATGTCAAGCATTAACATTCAGACACTTGCTCCAGGGAGGACCAGGCCCAACAGAAGAAGAGGAGTGGGAAGGGACAGAATGAGGCAAAGAGCTGGGATAAGGGGCTGAAATAAGAAGGGAAGAGGTGGCAGAAAAGGCCAAGGTACCCTGTGCTTAAGGACACAAGACCTGGTTTAGGAGTGGGGCAGGAGAGATGCACAGTGAAGGGGAAGGAGCAGGGGGAAGAGGCAGCACTAAATGGGAATGGGAGCTGCATAAAGTTTCAAGTGCTGGCCTCGTTCTTCTGAGTTTTTGTGCACCATGCTGAATGATAGCAGGGAAGCAAATGATTTGTGCCTGTTCATCAACTCTAGTTTTGAATGTACTTCTCTCTGTTTTCATTGTTTCTGTTTAACTTTCTTTTTTATAAAGTGATTCTGTGGTGAAACACTGAAAAATAATCCTGCTGAGGCCAGCTTCAGCTTCATGTCAGCCTCATTCTACTTGATTGCATTTCAGTCTCGCTATCACACTGATGTCACCTCACTAGATAAGGTTGAAATTCCCTCAGTGCCTTTTTTCCTTTGCTCAGCTAACACTCACTCAGCGTCAGCTGAAATAGCTCAGTGGGTGTTTATGGGGTAAAGTTTAGATGCTGCAGATTTAACATGGAGTTCTCTGTTACCATGACCGATAGCAGCAAGGAGTGCTCAAGGCTTGTAATGCTCCATGGTGTGCAGACATAACACCATGTACAGAAACCAGGTGGATTGTTCAGAGCTAAACATGCACACGCATAACGGTATTCTGTAACCGACGGGGAGGCACCACGCTCTAGTGCTCAGAAAAACACGTGGGGATGAGAAGCCGAAGGGTTTCATTTCCACTCCGAAATGGATTTGTTACATGACCTTTGGCAAGCAAATTATTTCTCTGTGCCACAAGTTTCCTGCAGAATGGGGCCAGTAACATTCCTCATTCCTTTCATTGGAGGACTCCATGGTTTAACTCATTCATGCTCCTAATGGGCTTTGGGAATTTCAGAGTATTACTTAAATGACTGATGCATAGAGCCATAACCAACAGCTTTCCCCTCGCACCCCATGGCAAGACGTTATCAAGAGCTGGAGATGGGGAAAGGAGAGTAGGGAGAGGGAAGGAATGCTAAGTGCTGGCACACTCTCTAAATCATCACTCAAGGCTGATGCCTTATTTGGCCCACCCTAGTTATGCTACTGTTGATATGTGCTCAAAAATGCTCAGATTCAGCATCACTAGGAGCTCTGCCCCTAACCCCAGTCCTTTTGGGATAGCAGATAATTAAAAAATAAGTTTTCAAGACCCAGGATCTGGCACTTAAAATATTCAGTTCACCCAAAAAGGCTTCCCCAGGCAGGCTGTCTATCCCATGGGTGTGACATTGCATGCAACTGGACCTCAGGGCTAAGTACAAGCATTCAAGAAGCCCGAGGCAGAATCAAGCCAATCTACATGGGTCTCTCTAAACTGCATAGATTGAGTTGGGACTAAATGGAACATGTTTGCCCTTTGGCGGGGGGAAGCAAGAAAATGTCTGCACTGGCCAAGGCCAAAAGGCATGGGGTGGGGAAAGGGGGTGCTTCCACATGGCTCCCAGCATGCCACAGATTGCCCAGGGCAGCCAAGTTAGGCCATTCCTGATGTCAGGCACATGGCCCCACCCTCTGCTATCACTGCAGATTGTCCCCCTTCCAGAGCAGGTCACCATGGCACACCTAGCAGCAGCACAGGGAGAGGGAGCTCCACAGGCAGAAGGACTGGTTCCCTCAGAGCAATGTCAGGAGAACAGGGGCTTTGGCTGTCAGACCACAGCTCCTCTGCCCAGTTACAGCTCCCGGCTCAGCCAGCCCAAAGCAGGTCAGGGGCACGGAGGAGTGAATAGGAAGCCTTCCTGGCTCAGCTAGACAGCAGGGTCACTCACCCCAGTCCCACCATGTGCCACCCTGCCCCATTCCTCCCACAGCTTCAGGACTGCAAGGGAAACCTCCATGTTTGCTCTGCACCCGCTCCCCCAAGTGCTAAGAGGTGGCACCTGGTGCAGGATCTGGGGTGAAGCTAGGGCAAGCAAAACCCACTTGCCAGGTGAACCAGGCAGCAGGGAGGAAAGCCCCTGGCACGCTGCCCCCTCCAGCTGTGCAGACCCCAGCTCTGGGGGAAGCTGAGGCTAGGGCAGGAGGGGTCCTCTTTTCCCTT